GACAGCAGGCGCGTTTCCTTTCCTGGGCTTTGGCTCACGAAAGGGTACAACCCCCCAGTCCCCTCCCCTTGAGCTGGAAACTAAACTTCCAGCGGGCAGCATAGATCGAGAATGCTTCCCCTTACTCCACCTGCTCACTCCATTTCACTTCCTGATTTGGTAAAGCCCGTCGTCGTCTTTACTAAGGCATGCCCGTGCCCCCGTCCTCTCACCTTCGATGCAAAGATGGGAAAAAAAACCCCAAAACATTCTGAGACACTGACAAGGCTGGTGACCGTCAGAAGGACGGGTGTTTACACTAGGGGACCTCGGATGATCACAAATGCATTCGCGTTTGCAGAAACGAAGGCTGCACTCAAGCCCCCATTCCCACCTTCCCAGTCACTACTCACCGGCGGCTCCCCTCGGGCCCACCTATCAGAGGTTCCTGAGAAATGACTGAGCCGCTGCGCGCAACCCGGAGGCACAGCCCCCTGAGTCCCTGCCCCGACTCGGTGCTGCCTGGGGCCTGCGGTGTTTTGCTTTCAAAGACCGCAATTTGATTGGCTCGGCTGCCCGCCAGTCAGAAGCTGGAGAGCACTTTGCTCAGACGAGTGGCTGTGAGAGAGGGTGGGCGGGACGTTGCCGAATTGGCTGCGCTGCCAGGCTTGGTTGAAGCGTAGGGTCACGGTGAGCCTTGCCGAGGCCACAGCCTGCAGGAGCGTTGCTCTCACCTCGAGCCGGTCCCTCTAGCGGCCACGGGAAGGACCTGGGAACACACCCTGCTCCCCCTCTTCCCTCTGTCCTGGGGAGCTCAGGTGACCACTCACCTCCACCTGCGGGGCAGGTGGCAGCTCCTGGGCTTTGCTCCTGCCATCCAGTCCCCCAAACCCCACGCTCTCACCGCGATCCAAATCCTGCACATCCTTTAAGACCCGGTTTCCCCCCAAAGTTTTATATATATATACACACACACACATACACATACATACTGTATATACTGTGCGTATATACTGTATATCTGCCTGCCCTCCGTAATACCCGTTGGGTGCATCATATGCCAACCCTCCAGCACGCCCTCAGCGCAGCAACACTTAAGGGCCTCCTGAGCACTGATGTCTCCCTGATGCACATCTGTGCGAATTAACACGAGCATAGAACTCACACCTTTTCACTAACACGCATTTTGTTTCCGATCCTCACAACAAGCCTCTGAGTGAGACACTGCGCTCATCCCATGTTACCAACGCAGAAAGGACATTTGGGCAGCGACCTCAGTGATGACAGAAGGGCAGAGATGGCTCAGGAACGCCTGAGAGCGCGTCGGAAACTGGCTGATGTAGGAACGGCCCACGGGCGGCGGGGCGGGCGGTGGGCGCTGCCTCCAGAGGGAAGGGCCGGGACAACTTAGGGTAAGATGTTGGATTTCATCCTAAGTTTAAAGGGACGCCGGGGGCGGGTCCTAAGCAGGGGGCTGACAAGGTGACTGACTGGGACTGCTCCGAAGCGTGAAGAGAGGGGCTGGTAGAACCCGAGGCGGGTGCCTTCGTACAACCGCCCATATCAATCTCTTTTTCTTTTGTTATTGTCAACAGGGCTTGGGTGAGAGTTCTCGTAGGTTTATTCCTTGAAGTAGGATTTCTGGGTGGACAAGATTGTGAGACTTTTGTCCTATCACAAGAGGTTTGAGGGGTCGCCGAGGTAAGCCTCCATTGGGTTTCCCCATGGTCGTGAGGTAGGTAGGATGAAGCCTGAAATTCTGGCAGCTTCCCTGCAGTTTTTAAAGCGTCTCTAACGATTGGCCAATGACTGAGCACTCTAAAGAAACAGAGGACACCATTGGCTAGAGTTCCTCACGTGGTCTCCAGACTGTTAGGCTGTGGTTGCCATGGAGACGGAGAAGGTTGGGCGCGGCCAGAGACAGGCCAGGGGGAACCGATGAGGTAGGAGGCAGGTCCTGTTGGGGCACTGGTCCCAGGGTCCTGGGAGGTGGGCCTGGCGCACCCATGGGACACCCCCCGAGACCCCGCCCTGCTGGGTACCAGGTGATGCCCGAGGGCGGGAAGAAACCACCGTTGGAGGTAACCCCTCCCTGGATTGTGCCCGCAGAGTCCCCACCTGCAACATGGTGATTGCACCCAGGGCATGTCTTCCCCACGTAGCTTCCGTGCGGGGCCTGGGCAGCTGACTCCCCGCCTCAGCCCCGCGAGTGTTTGGGGCTGCGGGGCCTGGCAGCTGGTGGGCGGCACAGAGCAGAATTCTCACCCTAGCTCCTCTGGCCTCCCTCTGCCAACATCTTTCCTGCTCCGAGCCCCACGCTGGCCACCTGTGAAAAGAAAGGGTGAGATTGGAATCTAGTGATCATAGCTGGCTGTGACAGCTTTTGACACGTTTTCTCAGCTTATGAAAAATCTCAAGTGGGTTATTTACCTGCGGGTGCTTTGAAAAGTGTAAAAAAATAAGACACACCATAAAATCTCACACAGTCGAAACTATTCATGCAACTCCCGTAAGCAGTATACATGGTTTAGAATATATTGATATACCCTATGCAGTAGCATACATGTACGTATAAATGCTTAAGATATGTCATAATACTATAACATAAATGATAAAGGATTTTTTAAACATAGAGATGGTACAATGAAAACATTGTCTATTGTAATCATGTGAGGTAAATATAGAATGCAGCTCTTGAAGGAAAGAGTCGTATTATGAGGACATCTGTATACATTATTGCTAACATGTGTTTACCCCTAGTAAACACATTCACTCATTCATTCCACAAATATTTATTAACTACTATGTGCCAGGAAACAGACTGGGGATTCCATGATGAATATTCTATTGGGGAAGATCATAAAGAAAAACACACAAAATATGATGTTGGGTAGAGAAAAATGCTATGAGAAAAATAAGCCAGGTTCCTGGGCTAATGAAAGGTAGGGCGGTGCTGCTTGGGAGTGGTCCAGGGAGTCACCCCTTAGGGCTGAGCAGAGTCGCAGATGAACCTGGTGACAGGACCAGAAGATGATGCCCCCTGTAGTGAGGGGAGCAATCCCCGGCATCAAGGAGACATTGCAGAGGCTGGAGAGGTCCCTGTGGGGAAGAGGATTCGTTTGTAGGTAATGGGATATGACAAATGGGTACATTTAGACATACATATAAAATGTAACCCCCCACCCCCAAAACCATCTATTATTAAGTTCACTAGACCTTTCTGTAGTGTCAAATATTTTTTGGCAGGTCTTTTTGTGCCCAGGTGACCATCTTCAGTTACTTGAAGAACAGTCATATAGAACAGTGGCTTTCAAACTTTTTGACTGTGATCCATGGTCAGAAATGCAGCACGCATAGGAACCTAGCAAACTTAACAAAAGACTACAGGCTATGGCAGTGATGGCGAACCTGTGACAGGCGTGTCAGAGGTGACACGCGAACTCATTTTTTTGGTTGATTTTTCTTTGTTAAATGGCATTTCAATATATAAAATAAATATCAAAAATATAAATCTTTGTTTTACTGTGGTTGCAAAGATCAAAAAATTTCTATATGTGACACGGCACCAGAGTTAAGTTAGGGTTTTTCAAAATGCTGACACGCCGAGCTCAAAAGGTTCGCCATCACTGGGCTATGGCCTGCACTTTGAAAATCACTCTCACCAGTATGGAAGAGAAATGAGACTTATTCTGAGTCCATTTCAAGGGCTAGAATTGGGATGACTGGAGAGAAAAGGAGGGGCGGGGGGGGGGGGGGGAGCTGTCAGCTTGATACAGATAGGGACTTTCTAGCAGTTAGAATTACCCAACAGTGAACTACCTCAAGAATTTTCAAACTGACCTCTAGGGAACCTCAGCATTCTGTGAAAACTTGAGACAGCCTCAAAGATTAAGAAAATGAAAAGACAAACCTCAGACGGAGAGCGGATAATTCCAAAACTTATATATGATAAGGGGCTTGTATCCAACATATATTAAGAACATTTACAACTCAATAACAAGATAACCCAATTGTTTAAAAAGGGATGTGAACAGGCACTTTACCAAAGAAGGTAAAGAAATGACAAATAAGCACATGAAAATATACAAATGAAAGCGACAATGAGATACCACTGTAGGGCCACGAGAATGGCTAAAACTCTAAGATTTACCACACAAGTGTTGGTGAGGATGGGTAACAACTGAAACGGACTCCTGGTACATGCAACACCATGGGCGAATCTCAAAAGCATTGTGGTAAGTGAAAAAAGACAGGTTACAAAACAGCACAGACCATATGACAACATATATATGGCATTCTAGAAAAGGCAACCATTGTGACAGAAAGCAGAGCAGTGGCTGCCAGACACCAGGCTAGGGAGGGTATTGACTGCAAAGAAACACAGAAGACTTTTTGGGCTCATGGATATATTTATATCTTTAAAACTAGAGGCCCAGTGCACAAAATTCATGCACAGGTAGGGTCCCTAGCGGCTGCCGACTGCCGGCTGGGGCCTTCCTTCATTCCGTGCCGCCCCCTGGTGGCCAGCGCATGTCATAGTGAGCAATCGAATTCCCAGCTGGTCGAACTCCCGAGGGAACACTTTGCATATTAGGCTTTTATATATATAGATTGCAGTGGTAGTTCACATAATTGTAAACGTGTCAAAATTTAGAATTGTATACATAGTGACAATGTAGTAACTCCTGAATTATAGTGTATGTAAATGATCTCATGATAAATTTATAAAATTCAAGCCTTTGTTAGTTCTGGAAGCAACATCAACTGTGAATACTTAAAGGGTTCCTGCTACAGACCGTGAGTGCAGTGTGCTTGCGACTTGAGGTCATAGATCCTGGTAAACCTCAGCCGCTACACGTTTCTCAGCCTGTCCTGCCGAGAGAATAGAACTCAATCCACGTAATTAACAGAAATGTGACATGATCCCTACAAATGCTGTATTTTGCTGTTTCAGGTGCTTGGAAGAACCATAGTTAAGTTTTTCACCAAACAAATGAAACATATCACAGAACTGTGCTAAGATGGCCACCTCGGCACAAAGAGACCTGCAGCCTGCCAGAACATACCTGAAACTCCAGAGAGGTCTGGTGAACTTGATAATGGATGTCTTTGGGGGTGGGGCCTTACAGTTTATATTTATGTCGAAATGTACCCATTTATACTCATAATTATGTTGTATATCTGCCCACATGTTTACCATTTCCAGAACTCTTCCTTCCTCTATGTAGATACAGATTTCCAACTGGTGTCATTTCTCTTCTGCCTGTAGGACTCCCTTTAACATTTGATATTATTCCAGTTTGCTGCTGATGAACTCTTCCTGTTTTTGTATATATTTAAGTCTTTATTTCACTTTTGTGTTTGAAAGGTGTTTTTCTGGGTGCAGGATTTTAGGGTGGCAGCTTTCTTTTCCTTCTCTTACCTTCAAGGTTTTGTTTCTAACAGTGGCCTGCTGTCTCTGTTCTCTTTGTATGTAATGCCTTTTCCCCCTCTGCCTGATTTAAAATTTTTCTCTTTATCACTTTGTTAAAGCAATTTGATTATTTTACGTGCCACGTGTGATTTTATTCATGTTTCATGTGCTGAGGTTTTTATTTTCTTGGATCTGGGGGCCTATAGTTTTTATCTGATATGGAAATTTCTCGTCTTTTTCTCAAAATAATTTTCTTTTCTCTGTCCCCCCACATCTCTTCTTTGGAGAGTCCAATTACATTTATATGAACTTCCTGGAAGTTGTCACATAGCTCACTGATACTCTGTATTTTTAATCCTTTTTCTCTTTGTGTTTTATTTTGGATGGTTTCTATTTCTATGTCTTCAAGTTTCCTAGTCTTTCTCCTCCCCCCCGCTGCCCCCGCATCCCACAGTGCCTAGTTTACTGTTAATCGTGTGTGTGTGTGTGTATGTGTGTGTGTGTGTGTGTGTTCTCATGGAGCAGTGGTTCTCAACCTGTGGGTCACGACCCCTTTGGGGCTCGAACGACCCTTTCATAGGGGTTGCCTAAGACCATTGGAAAACATATATAATTACATATTGTTTTTGTGATTAATCACTATGCTTTAATTATGTTCAATTTGTAACAATGAAAATACATCCTGCATATCAGATATTTACATTACGATTCATAACAGTAGCAAAATTACAGTTATGAAGTAGCCACGAAAATAATTTTATGGTTGGGGGTCACCACAACATGAGGAACTGTATTAAAGGGTCGCGGCATTAGGAAGGTTGAGAACCACTGTCATAGAGGGTTGCTTTGATACACACCATTCTACCACAGCCAGAAGCCAAAGTGCTTGATCTCCTTTTTAGTCAGGGAGAAACCCTTCCTTCCTCCAGGGTAATGTCCATCCTTTTCCTTTTTTTTTTAAATGCCCCCCCCCCCCTTCCTTCACTGCCTCCTCTGCAAACTCAGTTATTCTAATGACTTAGGCTTTTAGTACCAAAAGCTAGGAAACCTTGGGTCTGTTGCTTTCTGATTTGCTCTCTAGCTCCCTTAAAGAAAAAATTCGTAACCATCCACCTACTTGAATGGGGGAGGGAGGGAGATGGGAGGAGAAGAATAAATCTACCATACGTGGGCATTGCCAGATGTTTTCTAGCTGAACATATGCAGTATTCTGCTTCTTTTACTTGCTTCATCCTCAACCCAGACGCATCAGGCTCGATGGCCCCCTCCCCATCATTTCATTCATTGTTTACTGAGTCTTAACGATGAGCCAGGCCCAGGAAGAGGGAGCACAGCTTAGAGTTGAAGAGCCTGAGCTCATCGGACAAACTGCTCGAACCTCAGGTGTTGCACTGTGTTGCTGTGATTTGTGTGAGTAACGTAGTCTCTCTGAGCCTCAGTTTCCTCATCTGTAAAGCTTGTTAGTAATAGTACTTCCGGGGGGAGGGGGGGCTGTTGGCATTGGGCTTTCCTCTCTGAAAAATAGTTTTGTTTTTTCAAAAGTTTGGAGGCTAAGAAATGGGCCTTGAAGACAGTTTTCATGCAATCTGGCCCCTACCCTTCTTTCTTTCTCTTGGCTCTCCCTCTTCAGTTCCCCTCGGAGGGTGAGTGCTCTGATGTTGAGATGACTGGGCTCACTGATGTGGACATGTAGCAGTCAGGGTGGACACTCCTCCCGCCCCCCTAATTTGGCTTGGATGTCAAGACCGATGGTGCCACACACACCCATCAAGGGGCTGTGGAAAGGTTTAATCCTCACATAATGAGGCTTTCTGGGGGGAGAGCAGGGCAGGCTTCCTAATCTGGCCCCACAGTGGCTTAGAGCAGGGAAAGGAGTCTGACCTGGGTTTTACTGTGGGGAGGTGGTGGGGCTGCAGTGAGGGCTGGAAGGAGGGGCTGCATTCTAGCCGGTGCCAAGGAGGGAGCACCTGGGCCTTCTCATCAGCTTGCTGGGACTGGGGGCCGAAAAGTAAGAGGGAGGGAGGGAGGGGTGAGGCCTAAAAGCTGTCAGCAGTCAAACACGACAGTCCATTTCTATTCTACGCACTGAATAGAGTTTGTCATCAGTGGGTGTGCAGACGGATGCTGCCCGTGGGATCAGTATCGTGGCCATTCTCCCACGTGCGGGGCATGGGAGGAGGGAAAGTGGGATTTCGTATGTCGTTTAGACATCATGACTCAGGTGTATACAATTTTAACCTGATTTCCTTTAAGTGATGCCTTTTTAACCCATGTCTGCTCAAAGCCGAGAGCTGAATTTACCCTGTGCCCTGGGAAGCGAGAGAGCCCGGCTCCGGGACCTCCCCGTCTCTCTGGATTGTCACGGCGCTTTGCCAATGTGTGACTCTGGGCTGGGGACGCGTGACGGTTTTGTGTCCTCCTTCCCGGCCAGCTCTTCCCTCTTCCCTGGGACAATTCATTGCCACCATGTTACCAAGTCTCTAGTTCCGTGGTTCTCAACCTTGGCTGCACATTAGAATCACCTGGGAATCTTTTTAAAATCCTGATTTCTGGGCCTCATGGGAACCACTGCTCTAGTTTAAGAGCTGGAGGGGACGTCCCAATAAGTTACCAAGAGGGAAAGGAAGTAAAGTGGGGAACACTTTTTGTAAAACTATATTTTTGTAAAACTATATTTGTAAAACAATATTTTTATTGATTTCAGAGGGGAAGGATGAGGGAAAGAGAGAGAGAAACATCAATGATGAGAGAGAATCATTGATTGGCCGCCTCCTGCACGCCCCCTACTGGGGACCGAACCCACAACCAGGGCACGTCCTGACCTGGAATCGAACTGGGACCTCCTGGTTCATAGGTCAACGCTCAACCGCTGAACCACTCTGGCCAGGCAAGTGAGGAATACTTTTTAAAAGTCCAGCTTCATGTTTGTCTCTTGTCCAAAGGCAAGTTTCTCTTCTATTCCATTTCAGATAAAACGCTAATATACAGCTCTGTGTTTTCTGCATTTGCCAGTTCTTTGCCCTGTGCTAATTTTTGTTTTATTTTTGTTGTTTAGGTTTTACTGCTGCATATCCGACACAATCCTCCATTCCTTACAAATCTCACTGGGCAAAAAGTTCAGAAGCAGAAAAGAAAGGATTTAATAGTCAAACCAAGAGATTTGATCAGAAAACGGTAATGGCATTCATTGTCTTAGAGATTCTTTACTTTTTAGTCTGGATTTTAGCCTCAAGGGACGGGCAGGCGAGCCTGGCTGGTGCGTCTCTCCCTGTGACCAGTAGAGGGCGGTGCTATCCAAGGAGCCACAGCAGCCTCTCCAGCTGTGCTGATGGTAAGAACCAGCTGAGACAGACTCAGGGACAGGAGGCAGAGCCCACCGGTTGGTGGTCGCCAGAGGGCAGGGGGGTTGGGGACTGGGTGAATGAAAGAGGCGATGAAGGGATTAAGAAGTGCAAATTGGCATAGTCCCCAGGATGTAAAGCTCAAGATAGGGAATATAGTCAATAATATTGCGATGACTGTGAATGGTGCCAGGTGAGCGCTGGAAATATCAGGGCAGATGGCACTTTGTAAAGCATATGACTGTCTGATCACTGCTGTGCACCTGAAACCAACACAAAATAATATTGTAAGTAAAAACTGTTAAGACCTTAAAAAGAAAAGAAAAAAAAGAATGAGCTGGAAAGATATTAAATCCAGGGAAAAACAACGTGTCCAGATGGTGCTACACGGAACCCCAAAATTTTAATAAGCAATGTATTTCAAAAATTATTATAGAAATAGAACGTTAAAAATCCCAGGGATGTAAGTAAAAGGTAAAAATCTTTTCCTCTTTCTCCCCCAGCCTCACTCCTTAAAACACGAAAGGGAAAAACGAGACTTTCTTTGAATAACAAAAAGGGAAAATGAGTCTAATAAATTTTAAATGACCTTTGTGATGAGGGCCCCCTCGTTTTTAATGCTTCTTTTAACAACGTGTTACTGCTGCTCCTGTGTTGCCCCCATTCTCACTCTCTCCCCCCAGATATCTGGGTCTCTTTTCCTCTTTGATCCGGGAAGCTCTGCTTGGCACCTACGTAGGGATTTCACCTGCGAAAGACTCAGGGATCTGACCGGCTCCTCTCTCACCAGCAGGGGGCTCAGCCAACTCGCAGACGTTTTCAGTTTTCTTTAAAATCTTCATCCCTGCATTCATTTAGCCAAGACTTTTAGAATAACATTCTTGGGGAGTAATCATCATCTCGGTTACCTTTTGCTGCATTCTAAAAATGTTTCTCATCTTACCACCTTGCCAGGATGGTGGGGGAGGGAATGAGATCTGGCTTCTGAGTGAATGCAGGTGAGTCGGGAAGGAGTGGAGGGGCTTGGCAAGCCCCTCTGGCCCTTGCCTGTTCCTTCTTTGTAAACCAGAATGCCCAACTAGAGAACATTTCAGTTCCTTTCACTTCTGGTTTTTTAGGATTCTAAGACAGCAAATAATAAAGAATGTAGTATACACACACACACATATTTGTAATTACTTGCAGTTTCCCCCCCAAAGATGATAAATAAGATACTTGCTTAGGAGTTTTCTCTCTTCTCTTTCTAGTTTCTCTGTCTACGATTTAGCTGTCCATCTGTCTCTCTCTTTTTTTTTTGCCTGGTTTCCCATTTGTCAGTTTAGCAAGAATATATTAGTAAGATATTTGCAGTCCAGCCTCCAATAAAAATAATAGAAGCCACCATTCACTGATCTCTCCTACGGGTGAAATCATTTTTAGAACACATCTCTAATCCTCAGAACAATGCTAAAGGGAAGGGTTTATTATCTTAACCGAAGAGGAAACGGAGGCTTAGGGACGTTAAATGACCCGCCCAAGGTCAGAGCGCGCAGGGTTTGGCACACAAGAGGCCCTGCATAAATATTTGCTGAATCCATGTTGAAAGAATTAGACCTCAAGCCCAGGTCTAGCTCACGCCAAAGCCTCATGCTCTTGCCACACACGGCACCACGCCTCCCTTTATGGCCTGCAAAGCCATACATTTGATCTCTGAGAGTCAGAGAGCATGTTTCTGAAAAGGGCTTAGCAACACAGACCGGGCTCCGGCCACGGGGAAGATGTCCAGTAATGGTGCGAGGCTCCATGCTACGTGACCTAGTGCTGATGACGCAGATACAGGAATGGGGTGGGCTGGCTTTAAAGTCAGGATCTTACATTACTGTTGTTCAGGAAATTTTCTGCTGAAGGAACCAGGATGACAGCCAGAGCTATAGGCAGCGTCAAGCAGGGAGGGGAATTTGATTCAGACTTTCCAAGTGTGGTCCCATTGGTTTGACAATGTGAAAACTTCCGCCTACTATTTGAAAGCATTTGGTAAATGAGAATGGACCTTTGTGGAAAGGGCGAGGAATCCATAAGTCAGGTCCCCCGTGTTCTGCTCGGTTACTAGCTGTGGGCCTCGAGTTCCTTGACTTTTCTGGGCTTCAGTTTTTTTTTCATCTGAAACATAAAATTTGGATTATATAATTGCATTAGGCTCTTCAAACTATAAAAACAGACAAAGGAGTCTGATTCCACGCTCATTGTTCTCATTTGTCCTGAGGGAAGTGGGCATTGAGAAGTTAAGGATCTCATGTAGCATCACCCAATAATTTAGTGAGGCAATACGAATTAAAAACAGATTTTAAAACCCCAGTGTCTCACCGCCCTTCTTCAAACATTCCTCGCACACGCCCTGTGCCTGATCTCATAACTTGGTTGTGGCCTCGAATGAATTCTGTGACCCACTTAGCACATCTCACACGGTGCCCTTGGAAACGTGCGCGCACCTGATTGTCTCACTTGGTCGGAAACGCCAAGGCCTCGTTGCCTGGCTCCCATTCCCCTAAGAATCTGACTGCTGGGTGCTAGGAACCCTTCCCAGAGCTTGGTCCTGGACCGGCAGTGCTGCTGCCAGGAACGAGGCCTGCTTCTCCGAACGCGGTACAGCTGTTTGCAGATGTGCCAGGACTCTCATGCATGCGAGGCGTGCCTGGTCTGGGGCCAGGCAGAGCCCAGTGGCTCGATGGGCATTTTCTCCCCCCACCTCCCCTGTCTGTCCCCGTTTCACCCTGGACTGTGGTTACTGTTTGCCAAGCTGTGTAACACTAGACACTCACTCACTGTCTCTGCATCTTCGTTTCCTCATCTTCAAAATCAGGATGTTACATAGGTGGGCCTGTCCAGGGATGACTTGTTCTGTGGTTCTAAACACGACTGATCCCTCCAGGCGCAAATCAATGAAGAGAGGCAGGGCTCGGGCACCACAGGCTCCGACGGGCACAATTTAGCAGCACATGTTACTTTCAGACACGGCCTGACAGCAAACCTACCCTCTCAGGTGGTAAGCAGGCCAGTGTTTCATTTGTGGCGAAGTTAACGCTGTTCACTTATTAACCTGAGAAGGCACTGGGCCAGGGGTATTTTACATGGCAGGGATGCTTCAATGAAAAGAAGCTTAGTGTGCATAGACCCCCACGGCCAAGGGCATAAGTGCCCCCCAAGGGTGCAGTCAGCTGCCTGTTGGAACCCTCTGCCCGACCCTCCTGCTCTGGAAGCCGGGCTTCTCTGCTTCAGTCACAGCGCCCCTCCCAGCGGGTCTGCGGGGCCCAGTCCCGGAGATAGCAGCACTGGCTGGCACTGACGGGGTGCCAGGCGCGCCCCTCGAAGACCTTGGCATTCATCAACCCACTTAATCCCCACAATAGCCTGTGAGCCAAGTCCCATCATTATTCCCACTGTTCAGATAATGACCCTGAGACACAGAGAGGGGTAAGTGACTTGTGCAGCCAGGGTCAGGCCGAGTGAGGACGAACCCAGGCAGCAGCTCCTGGTTCCCAGACACCGTACCCCAGCCTCTCCCCTGGGCGCAGGCAAGCACGCCCTCCTCTGAACGCCCAGAGCCAGTCGCAGGCCCCTGCCCTCCTCCCCTGGGCCTGGCGGGGATGGGTGTGCACCTCTTCTCTCCGCCTGCCTGGCAACTGCTGGGGTGGCAGCTACCGCTGTCCTCCCCAGACCCGAGGCCCTCGAAAGTGGATTGAATGAAGGACCCCCATTCGTGCGCCTGCATTTCCCACGGAGTCACAGGCTCACGTCCCACCCGCTTCACCGGGTCTCCTTCCCACTCCTGGCCTTGTGAGCTGCTTGCTGGTTGTGCCTGTAACCTCGCACCTTAGCCCGGGCCCTGGCCCCAGGAGGTTTCAGTACATGTTTGTGGAGTTGACTTTTTGCCCACGTTCCCCTCGGGGTTTCAAGGGACTGCTAACGGGCTGATGCCAGACTTAAGGACAGGAAGGAGCATGATGTGCTCAGAGACGATGAAAACGTGCTTTCACTTCTCTGGTCTGTTCCCAGCGTAGCCAGGCCAGCGATGGGCAGAGACCTGGTCCCTGTTTTCATCACAGGTGACCAGTGTCCCACCTGCCCTCTCCCCCCCCCCCCCCAACACACACACACCTGCCCTTCACCTGGTGACGGGACACACTCTCCTCAAGAGAACTCGCCCTGGTTTTCCTGGGTGGGTGCTCCCTTCGGGCTCCCAGGGCCCTTTCATTCCTGATGTCCTCCCCGGTCTGAGCGGGGAAAAGTGGCATTTTCTTGTTTGAAGTGCGCTGGCTGCTGCTCCCTTTCCTCCTGTGATCAGAGGGGTGGAAACTTTGATGCCACGTAAGTGTATGGAGTGGGGTGGGGGTGGGGGTGGGGGGGTGGAGGGATAGGGGAGGGGAGGAAGCAGGAGGGAGGAAGGCATCTTATAAGGGGCAAATCTCAGTCGTAGACACTTTGAACAGGAGGGCTCAGTGGATGGACGTGTTGTCCGAGACCCTAAGACTAGAGGCTTTTGTGAAAGGAACTGGTTCCCTCGGGAACCCCACATTCCTGTGTGGCTTGGCCACTGGATTAGCCCCAGGACAGGGCTCTGCTTCCACCCCAGGCAGGTCCCCTCCTGTGTGTGCCGCTCGCCATTGGCAACCCCTGGTTTCATTCATCGTGCGCCTCCCCAGACAGCAGGAGCCGCCCCAGAACCGACCAAAGCGGGGGCGGGGGGGGGGGGGCATCTTAAAGAGTCAGAGGCAGTTCCGAGCGGCATTTAGCCAGGATCCCACAGACCACATTTTCCACGCCGGGAAACGGTTCGGCAGACATTGATTTGACAAACCTAAACTTATTAGCTGGACAGGATCTGTGAAACCAGGACCAGCAAATCCAGGCTGTGTGCAGGTGTCTGGCTCCAGGCTGTGGGACATTAAGCCTCCATGACCTCGGGAGCTCTCTGGGGTGAGGAGGTAAATACCTGCCCCCCCCCCCCCAACCCTGACCTAAAGTTACGTGACTGTGGGTCTGTGTCCTGCCCTTGGCACATGCAGAGGCTGCCCATTTGGGACTTTAATTCTTCAAACGGGCTCTCAAAGTTCATTTCGACCAGATGTCACCCAGGGGTGTATTCGGTGGGGGTTGGGAACACATCAGCCTGTCATCGGTGCTCAGTCCCCCTTTGCTCAGAACCCCCTCCTGGCTCCTTGACTCTGTCATGGGCTGTGCAGAGGGTGGTGGTGACGATGACAATGGCTGCACAGGCGGCACTGCTGTCGCCTCTCCACATGTGTTGACTCTGATTGTCACACTGGGAGGCGGGCACAGGAGAGACAGGAACAGCCCCTGGCACTGTGCTCCCAGCAGGACACTCAGCAGGCCGTCAGCATTGCTCAGAGGAAGAGTTCTCCCTGCTCGCTCCCCACCCATTTTTGTTTTGTTTGCTTATTTGGTTTTATCCTCTGGGGTAATCTTGGCCAAGAAACCCGGGGGTGGCTCAGTTCACCCGAGTGGCAAGTTGAATTCCTGCTGTCTGTGTTGTGCTCTGAGAGGCCTAGACTCACCAAAGTCACGCAACGTGAGTCACACGAGCTGTCATCCCAGAGGTGAAAGGTGGATTTCTGTTGCCCTCCCAGCAAGCCGCCCACCACCTCCAGCAGTTGCAGGAGAAGGCGTGAATTCTCTGCCGCTGGACATTCCTCTTCAAGGAGCTTCATGGGTGCCACACGAAGGTAGCAAGTGGTGTGCTGATAAACCCGCTCTCCCCTCCACCTAGAAAAGCTCTGATGTATAGCATTTGCCCCTTTCTGTGGTGTAAATACTCCCATTTCTGAATTGTTAACAGTCGCTCTCCCAGGCCGCCGCTGGCCAGCTCCAGCATACCGCTGCCTGGAGGGCTCATCTTGGACATTCACTGAGAGCAAACAGGCTACACTTTCCCCTCCAGGCTAAGGGGGACACTCCTGTGCCAATTGACCTGGATCCAAACATGATTAAGGTCCAGGAGGTGGCCAGATCTAGCAAATAAAAGTATAGGATTCCTAGTTAATTTAGAATTTCCAATAAATAACAACTATTTGAATGCAAGTATCTCTCAAATAGTGCATGGGACATACTTCTGCTAAAATAGCTTTGTTGTTTACCTGAAATGCAGATTTAACTGGGCAGCCATGTAGGTCTGGTGTTTTCTCTGGCAACCCCAGCTCCTCAGACACATAGAGGTGCCCAGGAAGTCCTTGTGGGCTGATGGCCGTGTGGAGAGTGTGGCCGTAGACGGGACGTAGAAGCGTGTGTCTTCACTGTTCACCCTTTAAACCTAGAAGAGTCACAGGCACGTTTCCTGCTTCAGCTTCCCCTTGGTTTAGGGACTTTGAAAGCTAAAAGGCACGGGAAGACATTTAGCCCAACGTCTTTGATTTACAAATGAGGAATTTACTAGTAGGTTTAGGGAGGTGGCTGGCTCCTAGTAGGAGCACTGGGAACAAGAATTCCTGATTCATAATCCAGTGGCATTTTTTTTTTTTTTCTTTATCCTACACACTTAGTGGTGAAGAGTAGACTCTGTCCTCAGACTGCCTGGGTTCAAATTCTGGCTCTGACAGTTCCTGGATCTGTGACCTTGGCCCTGTCCTCTCATCTTTCAAACGGGGATTAAATGCGTCAGTGCACGTGAAAAGCTCAGAACAGTGGCCCGCACACAGTGCTCACTCAATAAATGCTGGCCCTATGCACAGCCCCCTAGAAAAGCTCTTCCACTCCGGCGGTGCTGCTCGGTGGTTAGTGCCTCGGGCTGCGCCCCAAAGGGTAGCAGATTTGATTCCTGGTCAAGGGCACGTACTTCAGTTGCAGGTTTGACCCCCAGCCCCTGTCGGGGCACGTGTGGGAGGCAATGAATTAATGTTTCTCTCTTTACCCCTTCCACTCTCTAAAAAAAAAAAAAAAAAAAAAAAATCAATGGAAAAATATCCTCGGGTGGGATTAACAAAAAGAAAAAGTTCTCCCTTGTTTCCCTGCAGCCCCTCGAATCTGCGCCCACACGCCAGGCTTCTCCTGACCGTGGCCTGGGGTGCTTGTGCACCTGGTTGAGCTGCATCTCTCGTGGCCAGCCTCACTCTCCCTGGCAGTCAGCGCCTCCTCCAAAGCAGGAATCAGCGCCCTGGCCCCCACCCGCAAGGCTCAAAGGAGCCTCTGCATTTTAAATCCGGCCCAGAAGGACCTGTTCATAGCACTGGTGACCCCGCCTTTACATTAAACCATAATCACGCACTGCTCCGGCCCGAGCGGAAAGGCCTTCAAGGCCCGATGGTACCGCCAGCTTGCTTTCTGCCCCAAGGAAGGCGGTAGGGATGGTGGAGACAGATGAGCCTGGGGCAGAGGCTGGAGAGAGCCGGCTCTGGAGCCATCATTGAGTAGCTGTGGGCTGAGTGTCCCTGGGCCTCACTTTCCTTAAGAGGGACCGGATAATACGCCATTGCCAAGGACTGGTGTGCACCATGCGCTTAGCCCTGGATTCAGGTACTGCCACTCACAGCGGTGGGACCACGGGCAAATCCATCTCCACCTGCCTCAGGGTCTCCACCCTCTAAACCCGGGCAGGACTCCCTCCCGCGCTGGGAGAGTAAAGGAGACAGCCTTTGAGAAGCTCCTGGCACCGAGTAGGCACCCAGGAAGGCATCCTTATCATTTCATGCCACTTGCTCGGCCAGCTTCTGTCAGCATGTACTTCCCCTGGTAACCAGCACGGGAAGCGAGAAGAAAGCCCAGTTAGCAGCTGCAGCAGAAACAGGCTTAGAAATCAAACTCTTGCGCACTCCTCTCTACCACACCTGCATCATTTAGCACAGTGTTCTCAACCTGTGGGTCTCGACCCCTTTGGCGGTCGAACGACCCTTTCACAGGGGTCACCTAAGACCATCCTGCATATCAGATATTTACATGACGATTCATAACAGTAGCAACATTACAGTTATGAAGTAGCCACGAAAATAGTTTTATGGTTGTGTCACAACATGAGGAACTGTATTTAAAGGGCCAGAAGGTTGAGAACCACTGGTTTAGCACCTGAGCCCCGTGCACCTGAGAGTTCGAAACGGTCTCGTTCGGGATGAAGGTTGTTTTTGTTTCATTTTGCTTTATAAACAGAAACACGCCCTGATTTCTCTGCTGAAAGGCTGAGGAGGAAGCTGAGTCAGGTGGGGTGTGGTTCCCATGCAATCGGCCACCCTGCCCTCCCCGTGGGCTTGGCTTACCCAATCCATGGACACCGGTTTGCACATCAGCCACACTTACTATCCCATGTTAGGCCCATTTCTCCAACGGCGTGAAAAACCTCCATAGTGAGTGGGAAGAGCAAGGGCTTTGGGGGTCCCAGGCCTGGGCTGGCCTTCCAGCCCCAGCACTTGGTACCTGAGATGGTGACTGGGCAGGTTAGGAGGTGGCGCAGCCGGGCTGTCATCCGTGCAGTGGCGGTGGGGCCTGTCCCAGCGGGTTATGGGGAGGCTGAGCGTTCATGGGTGTGAAGCTTGTGGAAAAGCCCAGTGGAACGGAATCTGTCCCGGTGACACCGCGTGCTCTTCCCTTTCAGGATAACATCCCCGGCCCTGGGTCCTACAACGTCACCCACCAATCTCCAGTGTTCAACAGCGTCTCGCTGTCCACGAGAGGGACGTGCGCCTTCCCCTCGAGGGTAAGAGCCCCTTCTCCTGGGCATGAGCATTGACTGATCCGTCATTTCCTTCACTCGTTGCATAATCATGTATTGGACATCCGGTCCCTTCTCTCCAAAGGCCCGTGGTTCTTTTTTTTTTTTTTTTTGCAGGGACCACATTTCACATTTTATTGCACTTTTTCCACAATCACTGAGTCCTGCTGGGCTGTGCCCAGGGCTCCAGAGGCAGGACCTGGAAGGTGAAGCTGCGCAGCAAGCCATTCCCATGGAGGGGCTGCCCCAGGGACCCGTGAGGGTGACCTCGTGGCCATGGTTGGGAGACCCGTCCAGGTCTGAACCCCACACCCAGCGACCACTTAACATGGCCCTCAAGACTCCCATACCGGCCTCCACACCGCCTCCCGGATGCTGCCCCCAAACAGGGCCGTGGTTCTAATTAGGAGAGTAACTGCCTCCTCAAAGTTCATGCAGGTAAATTGGCGTCTGTGCCATTAAACTCCCCCTCATCCCCCATCACTACACATTTCCAGAATGGAGAGAGAAGCCAGAGGAATAATATTCAGAGCCTCAACACCCAAAACCAATGTTGTCATCCCGGAGTAGGCTAAGCAAATGTCATCCTGAGATTTCTAGGCACACCAGGAAAAAATTATTCTACATCTCGCCCTAATAAGCTGTTTTACACTGCGAAGTCTAATTGAGTTATTGACATCATTGAGGAAGCTGATGGGGCCAAAGTGAGAGCAGGCAGTGGGCCTGGAATTTAGCAGCCTTCCTCCCCTCCCTCTTTCTCTTCTTCGTAAGATGTGGCTCTTGATCTTTGTAGAGGGCTCTGACAGTCAAATATATAGAGTGTCTCCCAAAAATGTATACCCAGACATTTTTCGATAGCTCAATTGATGTTTCTTTCTTTTCAGATTTAACCCATTGGAATGAATATTTATTCAAAGTGTGTATATATTTTTGGGGACACCCTGTATATGATGTGCAAATGTCCCTGACCAGATACTTTTTATCTGGGTGAAGATAATTTTTATCTGAATATTTATAAATTGGCAAGAAAAAAAAATAGATGGAGCAAGGGCAAAGGGTCAAACTAGGGTAAGGCTGAGGTAAGAAAGTAAAAAAGAGAGCAAACCCAAACTCTAGTATTAACAAAACACACATGCTGTCTGTCCCTTTAAAAGTGATAATAATCTGCAAAAATGTATTATGATGCCTGACATTGGAATTGATTTTTAAAAGAATCACACAAAGAGACCATTTAAGACAACCTGAATACAGCCCCTTATTGGAATTCAAGTTGGCAGAGTGGAATCCTCAAGGAGCGACCCGGCTGCGGCCGGGCACACCAGGGGAGGTTGCACCTGCCTCCCGCGAGTTCACGGAACAGCCACGCCTCTGCCCTGCTTTCTGCCGCCAGCCCTGCGAGTAAGGGAGACTCAAAAGCAACCGGCAAAAGAAGCGCCTCGTCTCACAATGCCCTGGCACCGGCGGCGAGACCTCAAACCTCATCCTGACTCAGCTGTGGGTTCCCGAGGTGACCTCGGGCACGTCACCCTCCTGTGCTCCAGCTGCCTCCGAAGGCGGAGACTCCCCGAGGCGCTGGGCACATCGACGCTGCAACCAGCGAAAAACCCTTTGAAACTGCACAGCACAATAAACATGTGCAATGTTATGATTGTTACCACCTGAGTCACAAACAGTAAATGCTTCCTGCAGCACCCAGGTGTGCTCCCGGCGGACTTCTCTGCCGTGCGGAGGCACTGCCCATTCTTCCTCCGTGCCACAGGACGAAGGGGCTGGATCAGCGCGCCACGCGGTCGATGGATTCCGTGCGAGGCCCCCTCGTGCAGCAGAAGGGGCCCAAGCGAAGATCTGAGTGTTACGGCAGCGACTCGGGCCTCTCCAATCCGTTTAAAAATTCAGGCCAAACCCAAAGCAAGGCAGACAATGAGTTGTTCAGGCTTCCTCTCCCCTCCTTGATGGGTGTGAGAATTTACGGTTATGTTTATAAACAGTTCTGTTCCTCTACCCTTGGGCACGGGCCTTCCGTGGTTGATGGAGATGTGTCCGGAAATTCCCCACATCTTTCTTGGTTTCCTTCTGAACTGGATGCGAACTCTATCCCTTCACCCCGACTTCCACCGTTAGCACCCCCTCCATTTCTGGACTGGAGACGCCGAGGGAGTTAAAGGGGGCCCTCTTCAGAGAACACTGGGCCTTCCTGACACTGGTGTGACCAGGAGGTGGTGGCTGTGGGTGAGGCTGGCCGAGAAGCTCTGTGGGGCTACACGTTTGAGAAACTTCCTGATGGCGATTGGCACAGCTACACCCAGCCTTTTGAGAGGACCTGTCATCTCTCTAAGTCCAAATTATATAAGAGCTTCATTAGTGCCTTCCCAGTCTTTGTTCCGGAATTATTCACAGCAGATGAGGCGGGTGGGCGGAGGCTCTGGTGGCCTTTCTACATTCGCACGGTGTCAGCAGCGGCTCGGGAAAAGTTAGTGTGTGCGGAGAGAGGTTCGTACATGTCAGCGCGTGGCCAGATTGGAGACCACAGGCCTGGCGACTCAAAGGAGGCCAAGGGGTAGGGAGGGCTGGTGAGTGAGTGTTCCTTGGGCTATACGCTGAGATAAGTTCTATTATGACGCTTCTATTCTGAAACATTGCCTCAAACTGGAAACTTTTGGAACAATTTCCCCCAAAGTGTATGTGACTAGGCTTTCTAGGCCCGAAAGGCTCTATGATCCAGTAAATTTAAGGAAGTCTGGACAGGTTTCTTTATTGTGGACAGTCTCAGAGCATTTACTCTGCCAAAGCGTATTATGAATCTTCAAAATGGGGACACGGGATGAGACTTCTCAAATGTATTTGACTCGGAAGCTCCCTCCCAGCTGCTGTCCCCACCAACACAGCCTTATCTTCGAGAACTGGTACGCCAAGGAACACTCACTGGGAAATGGCTTCAGAAAAACATGCTTGCCCGCTCTGTCAGGTGACTCGAATGGCACCGCCGAGGAAGGCTTGACCTCACCACCCTTCTTCCATGGAAGTTAAAAAGAACGAGTGAAGGAGTGCCAAACCATTGGGCAGAGGAGATACGGGGTCTCCATCCTTCTTGAACTAAGACCTCCCACGGTCACTTGTCAGCTGTTCTTCTTGTTGTTGCTGTTACTCCCTCGACCCGTTCCTCCTCAGAACTGGGTGCCTGGTCCATCTCACAGAGCGGAGGCACACGGCCTGGGTGCGAACGTTGGTTCAGTTTCCTCGTGTGTAAGGTGAGGATAATCACAACATCCACTATCCAGGGTTGCCATGAGGATTAAATGCAAAAGCCCATGAAAAATGCTCGGTTAACCATTGCCCAAAATGCAAAGGCAAAGTGAGTACAAGGATGGAGAAGGCAGAGGTGGGGCTCAAACCCGACTTGGACTCTGAACAGCTGAGACTCTGGACAAGAACACGCCTGCTCCTGGTGGCACATCCACTCCATACCATGGTGGCCCATAAGCCAGGTGTGGAGAGCCAGTGCCACCAAGCGTAGGCTGAGTGAGGAGTCGGGGGAGGTACTGATGCCGTCCCACCACTTCCCCCACTTTCTGTGTGAGAGACCTAGGGCAACGTGCCCAAGCTTTTAACCATAAAATACTGAGAAATATTTGGTGTTATCAGAGTCCAATACTTGCCATACTATCCCAGGGTAAAGTGATGTTATCACCCAGTTTCTGCGGCTTTTGACCCTTTTCATTTGGCAAACACTGATTCTGTTTGTTTTCTTTTAAAAACACACACACACACTAAAAATAGTTTACCATGGCTTCCTGAAAGAAGTGGAATTGGTTCTGTTGAAACACAAACATATTGTAGGGTTTTATGAAATCAGTAATTAGTTGGGGGGGGGGGCGTAAGGAGAGGGGGTAGGAGGTGTGGGTGGACAGCAAGCTCTATGGAGCCTTGCCTGTAGAAGACATTAGAATCAAACTTGTCATTTAGGCAATTCAGATGACTTAACCTTAGAAATACGATGTGGAAGTAGAAAGAAAGCCTGGGTTGGAGGAAGAAAGTTTAAAGCTTCCATGATATAAATAACCCAACAGCTGATGGTGAGTCAAGTGGCTTGAAACAGGATTGGGTGAAAATGCCTTTATGGCAAAATTATCTATGCCAAGTCCCAAACAACAGATGAGTAATTTGAGTTTACAGAAGTTAAAACAGGTCGGAACTTGTGTTTTCCAAGAGCGAATCCTCAAAGCCCAAGGTCAGTTTATGATTGTTGCCTGCCAGAGCTTCGCCTTTTATAAGACGCTTTCAGACCCGCTGTGGGGCGCCAGCTCTCTGACGGCCGTCCCGCGGGGCCACAGGTTGTGTGACAACGCTGATCCCTTTGGTTTTCTCCCCACAGCGTGACCGGCTGGGCCCCATCGTTTCTAAAAATCCCGCTGCAAATGCGTACACTCTGCCGTCATGTTTTGTTTCGAAGAAAGACTTCAGTAATTCCTATTCCAGTATGTTCCAGCTGCCACGCTCTGGAAAAGGCCTCAAATTTGTAACTCCTGCACCAAACCAGTACAACGTAAGAACACTGCACGCGCTTACTAAATATATATTGAGGGAATGGTTTACTAAAATAAAAGGAAGGAAGGGGGCACTTTGGGAAATAGTCCTTTAATGCAGTTGGTAAGCCAGTTAGCATTTGTTGGCTACCCAATGGGTACACGAGGCTGTGCAAGGCTCTCACAGGGAATTTGCAGAACCCAGACGAAAAGGGGGCCAGTGTGAGCGGTGGGAAGACCATCGCCCTGGAAAATGCTTAACTGTAGCCACTGCTATCATGTAAGCTTTCCGGGACAGCGTTCCCATCTCTAACAATGAGTATATAGTATTTGCCATTTTGTCGGCAGACACTATTAATTTAATTTTTAGGTTCTTATAGGGAAAATACACTTCTGTCTTTCCAGATCACAAAATGGTTGTTGGTTATTTTTTTAAGAGTAGTGCTCTGCTGATTCTGATCACTTCACACTCACTGAGGCAGAATTCATGGTTAAGAAATGGAGTCAAGTTCAAATCTTGACTTTGCCACTTTCTAATCGTGTGACTGGGCAAGTTCTATGGAGCCTTGTACCTCCACCTTCCAGAACTCAGTTTATTCATCTGTAAAACGGGGATGCATATCTAGTTCACAGTGTTAATGCAAATATTAAATGAGGTCATCTGTGCTGAGCGCTTAGCACAGCACTGGCACGAGGACTCCACAGTCCGTAGAGATGGGTAGCCCTGTCTTTGGGGGAGACACACAACCTCTTGAGCCTCAGTTGTAACATGAAATTAATTACACTTGCCCTATGGGGTTATTATAAGAAGCAAACGAGGCAACGAATGTGAATACATGAGGCATGATAGCAACCCATGAGCTAGGAAGTGGAAGTCCCTGATAATTCTGCTGCCCCAAGCGAACCACCATCAAAAACCAGCTGCAGCCGAGGCCGGTTTGGCTCAGTGGATAGAGCGTCAGCCTGCGGACTGAAGGGTCCCAGGTTCGATTCCGGTCGGGGGCATGTGCCTTGGTTGTGGGCACATCCCTAGCAGGGAGTGTGCAGGAGGCGGCTGATCGATGTTTCTCTCTCATCGATGTTTCTGGCTCTCTGTCTCTCTCCCTTCCTCTCTGTAAAAAAGTCAATAAAATATATTAAAAAAAAACAAAAAAAACCCAGCTGCAGTCTCTTTCCATGCTCTTCCTCCCGTAGGCCCTCCCTCCAGTGTTAGGCTTATGCTGTGCACAGTACATGTGCGTTTTCTACTTAGCTGTATCTTGGGTTTCCCCCGTGCCATATGATAAATCGGCTCCATTCTTTTTAACCCGCCGTGGAGCTGCTGTTTCCCTAGTGTAACGGTGAGACCTTCCAGTGGCACAGAGGCAGCGGGCACAAAAATGCCCCCTCTTCAGGTGCCTTTCTGTCGGGCCGAGGAACAGAGCTGCGGTAGTGTTTGTCTGCAGGTGGCTTTTTCCAGACCCGGAGAACAATGGCTGAGCCAAGTGGCGAGGAGCAGAATGCGCTAATCCTGTTAGCCACACTGCGCGCTGAGGTCTGCCCAGGCCTTTCTTCGCCTTTGCTCACCATGGCCCCCCGCTCCTCCATTCGAATCCTTTCCCTCGATGCCGTGTTATTACTTCCTCTCCGGCAGCCTGGCTCCTCGCCCTGGGTCCAGTAATTAGCCTGCTCCGTTCTGATCTTTCTGTTTGCCGTCTCGGCAGGCAGCCCAGCCATTAGGACCCTGGGAAAAGCTCAATATCCCCGCCTTTGTCAACACGAAATCAAAATGCCATCTGCATTTCTTGAGAAGCATTTCTCTGACGAAGGAGTATCACCGAAAATCAAACCATCCTGGCCCCAGCAAATATTTTCGCTCTTTTGGTAAATATTCCCAGCCGTCGCACGTACAGTTTTTATGGCATCTTTTATCTAGTGAACACAGGAGCCGGACTGCACATTGGCATGTAAAGTATGTATGATTCACGTGTAGCACAAGCACGATCTCAGGGCTCCTCATTTCCTTCTCTGTGACTTTCAGAGTTCCAGACACACTGGACACTCTCAAATGTGTATCGTGTGGATCAACCAAAATTCTTAATTTCTGGTCAGTCCAGAAAAGTCAAGGCAAGAGAGTGCTTACAAAGCTGATTATAACCTTAAAGTACCCGATCTCCCAGCATGCCCCAAACCCTGCGTTCACAGAGGGACTGCGCAGTTAGGAATCAGGTGGGGGGGTGTAGGACTGAGTGTTCTGAAAAGAATGAAAACACAGGAAAGAGAATGAAAATAATTTGCATGTGTAGAGTGACACGGTTTTTAAAAAACACTTTGCTATAGATGGTTTCCATTGGCCTCCTGCCCCCCAGCCCCACCTCGACAACACTGGGTCAGCTAGAGCAGGGGTTATCTGAGCCGTCTTGCAGATGAGAAAACTCAAGTTCAGAGAAATTAAACTATATGTGCAGATCACCTGCCTCATACAGGATCATCTTCCCTGTGTGGGATCACCTGTCCTGTGTGGGATCATCTGCCCTGTGTGGGGTCACCTGTCCTGTGCAGACACTTGCTGAGCTCATAGCCCAGTGATGGCGAACCTTTTGAGCTCGGCGTGTCAGCATTTTGAAAAACCCTAACTTAACACTGGTGCCGTGTCACATATAGAAATTTTTTGATATGTTAATGCAAATATTAAATGAGGTCATCTGTGCTGAGCGCTTAGCACAGCATAGTAAAACAAAGATTTGTATTTTTGATATTTATTTTATATATTTAAATGCCATTTAACAAAGAAAAATCAACCAAACGAATGAGTTGGCGTGCCACCTCTGACACGCGTGTCATAGGGTCGCCGTCACTGTCCTAGCCGTTCCGGCCGGGGTGACGGTGAAGCACTATCCGTGTGGCCTTTTCCACTCACATCAGTTCACTTTCTGAGGAGGACAGGTGTACATTTGATTTTGTCTCCAGATGTGACCCTCTTCCAGGCACAATGGCAAAGAGCAGGCAGGCACTGGCACAGCGCGCTGTTTCTCTCCCCAGGCCTCCGTCTCGTACTGCAAGCAGAGAAACAACGTCTGTGCCCGAGCCGAGTTCCAGTCCAAAACCCAGAGAGGAGCGTTCGCCATCCCTGGAGCAGGACCTGCACCAGGTAGGCAGCCGCCTGCCCTGGCCTTGACCTAAGGCAGCGGTTCTCAACCTTGGCTGCACGTTAGAATCACCTGGGAATCTTTTTAAAATCCTGATTTCCGGGCCTCATCCTCCGGAAATTCTGCTGCTTTGTTACTAATGTTGTGGCCCCACCCCATAACAAAGAAACAGAATTTCTGGAGGATGAGGCCCAGAAATCAGGATTTTAAAGATTCCTAGGTGATTCCAATGTGCAGCCAAGGTTGAGAACCACTGACCTAAGGGGTCAGTCCAGATCTGATCTGAGGGCACCCAGTCCCCCACCGGCAGCCCCTGGAAGGAGTTAGGCTTTGGGGCGGCGAGGGGTTGAGGCAGGCGTTGAACAAAGGGGAGAAGCGTGAGGAAGAGACCGGCTGTCCTCCTTCAGGGAAGAATGGCTGGTCTGGAAATGCCCCCAAAGCAGCCTTGCTGGTGGGGAAGTGGCTTCTCGCCTCAGAAGAGTGAGTGTACATTCCCACCCCCAGGCATCACCATGGGCGGGGGCACACAGGCCGCAGCGTGGATTCCCACGCAGCCCTCACACAGCTGTCCTCACAGGCCCACACTCTGGCCCTGTGATCCAGGGGAGGCAGTGGAGGCTCAGAGTTGAAGTGACTTGCGCAGTGTCACAGGGCGAGCCCCAGGCCCAGAGGTGTCTGACTGAGGAGACTGTTGCCTATTGTGACTTCTGAACTCGCCAGGATTCGGGAACACACAGGGCTGGCCAGCGAGTGTTCTCCCTGCTGGGCTGGACCCTCTGTGCACCCCCCCACCCCCCCATTACCCCTCCCCCACCTCCCAGCCCCAGTGAACCCTTTGCAGAGAGGTCTGCACGCAGGAGCTCTCGCTCTATCAGACCTTCCCCACGGGATCTGAAGACCCCCAGGGACCCGCGGCCCTGCCCAGAGGAGGAGCAGGGTTTGCCTGCAATCCTGCCTCCTGGAGGGGGTGTGGATAAAATTGCAGCGCACGTCAGATTTCAGCAAATGCAGATTAAAGCTGAGATTAGTTTGGAGCTGAATAACAAAATCAGCTCTAATTAGGAGGCTGAGCCCGGGCTAAAGCTCCCCGGCCTTGCATCATCCGAGGGCAAAGCCCCACCTTGTTTGTTTATACAGAGAACAAAGCCGGCATTTCTGGGGGTTGGCCAGAGGCCCGGCCAGTGAGCCCCGGGATGGGGGCACCCCTGCAGCCAGCCACAGGTGCCACTCCCTCCGGAGGTCTTATCGCAGAGAACAGGACTGGGGAGGGGCCCATGTCTCTTAAACTCCTACTGTGTGCCCAGGCTTTCCATTCCTCCGAATGCTCTCAAAGCCCCACGGAGCATGTGCTCAGGAGGTGTGAGCCAACATTATTTCCGCCCATTTTACAGGTGGAAATGATACTTAGAAGGCAGGTGACTAGCCCAGGGTCCCCTTGGATTTAGCCCAGGCCTCTTGGGTTTGATGCCTGCCTGGTGCCTCAGACACCTCCCCGCTCTGCTGGCCAGGGGCCTGGGACCTCTGCTTTGACCTCTCACCTCTCGGCAGTAACACCATGGTTTCCCTGCCCCCTCTGGGAGAAAACCAGATGTGGAGTGGGGATTGGGTCTGCTGCTCTGCCTGCCCCTCCGTCGACGCCAGGCAAATGCTCACCTTGACCTGTTTGCTGGTTGGATTTCCTGCATTTAGATGTACCAATCACATCACCAGTGTCCCCCTCTATTTTTCCTTTTCTTTCTGAGCACGGGGAAAGGCCTGTGCTAAAGTGTCACTTGCCAACGTGGGTCACAGAATCGGATACGCCGGGGAGGCCCGCCTCGTGCAGCAGAGCCCAGCTGCGCCCGGGAACCAGTGCTCCCTGGGCTCTCGGGGCCACAGGAACATGCATGCCTCTCTCTTTACTTCTGCATCTCCGCATTTCATAGCCAGGCATTGCTTTCACCTTTTCTGGTAGCAGTAAATGAGAGAGAAAAGAAACAGAAAGATAATGAGAGATATGGACCAATATTATCAAGGCTGCTAGCTGGACATCTGCCTTTTAAAACTATGTTAACCATATGCTGGGAACGTCTCTCCAAGTTATTAAAAATCCTCCCAGAACACATCATTTTTAAGCAGACGTATAGGAGGCCACCGTATGCTGGTGCCACGAGTGAAGGAACAAATGCCCTCTTACTGGGAATCGAGGTGGTTTTGAGCTGATCACTAATATAAATACAGTGGCTGCAAACACCCTTGTAGTTCACAGCTCGTGTGCAATCGAGCTAGTTCCCTCATGTAAACTGCTGCAAGTGAAATCGCTAAGTCTGAGGCATGTAACACAGTTGAGGTTTTTGCCGTTTGTGATGGAATTGCCCTTCAGCACAGGGGTGACAAGGCACCTTGCCCTGGCCCTCACTGGGCCTGACCGTTTAAGGAAAATCTTGCTAGTCAAGTAGTAATGTTGTTTTCAGTATTTTTGCAACGGAAAAGTACATTTTATTGAAGCAAAGCCAACTTTACAATGTTTAGGAAATTTGGAATATTTTTCCCACCCAGAATGCCATCCCTCATATAATGACTCCCCTTTCCTGGGGCCGCGCCTATTTTTATTCAGACTTATCCATTTGTACCGGAATGCCACCCTCGGGCATAGACTTTCAGGCTTGGCTTTACTTATTCACTCACCTTCATTTTTGGAAACACGGCCGGTGGCCTATGGTCTTAATAGTTGTCATCTTCCGGCCTGAGCTTGGGCTGTGCACATGCAGGCTGCTCTCCTTTCTCACGCTGTAGTGGCTGCTGGGATGTACATCATATGCTCAGGGCTTTCCCATTATGTTGAATCATTTTCTTAATTTCGGAGTCTTGGGGAGCCTGGGTGTGCAGACGTCCTCAAGGCTTCTGCCTAGTGCTGCTGCTCATACTCCCTACGCCTGCACCCACTGGCAGGGCACCCACTGGCAGGGCACCCACAAGCCGAGGGCGAGCTGCTTCCTCCTCCCCCAGCTCAGAGCATCCTGCTCTTCCTCGAAGCTTCGTGCAGTCACATGGATTTCGTCCTGTCACAGTTTCTGGAGGTGGGGCATGATGGGAAAGCATGGGCTTTGGAGACAGGTGGCCTGGGCTCACATAGTGGGTGTTCAAGAGATATTTGTTAATTGCAAAGTACAGTGGGGCCTTGACTTACGAGTTTAATTCGTTCCGAGACTGAGCTTGTTAAGGAACTTGTTAACTCAAATTACTCTATCAACTCAATGCAAAAAATCAGCCTGAGAGACAGCTGGTATCTCAAAAAACTCATTAGTTGGGACACTCGTAAGTCAAGGCCCCACTGTAGTTACAAAACAACTCCTCTGTGCCAGGAACCTAATACGTTATTCCGCTATTACAACCACTCCGTTGTTGGAAGAATTCTTCTGACTTTATCGAGGAGGGAGCCGCTGGGCTTAGTCCCTGGTTAGATGGATGTCTACGGGCAAATGTTTTAATATCGCTGAGCCTCAGATTCCTCACGTTTAGAATGGGGGTGATAGCACCCACATTGCTGGGCTGCGGGAGATTACATGGGCTAAGTATGTGATGCATGTGGCCTGTGTTCGCTAAATGGTGAGTATTGTTTTCAGCTAATTCAGGCAGCCCTTCCATTGGACCGTCTTGGAGCGATATCGCCTTCTAGTCATTAATGTATCCTTAGGCGGAAGGTATGGCTCTTTATTTATTTGAGAAGTGTTTCTTATATGTTTAAAAATTTTTTTCTGTTTAGGGTATTATGATATCAACGAATCCCTTGTGAAGCAGTCGCCAACGACATTGGTGTCCTGTTTTAAATCAAAAACTGACCGTGGATTAAAACTGACATCGACAGTCCCTGGCCCCGGTTATTACAACCCACACGATCACACCAAGATTCCGAAAAAGACCCTTATCCCGTGAGTCCTGATGATCCTGAACTTTCTTTTGAAAGGCGGTCTGGGAAGGACCCCGACATGGTAGAAAAGGAAGGGTGTCATTGCTCGCCAGGTCGCTGTCCTTGTTGATGCATAGTAGGTGCTCAATAAATGTGTGCTGCACGCACAGTACATACTGAGCAGCTACTCTGTACCAGGAAGTTCACCTCATGCCCCTTACCATAGCAATCCTGTTGTCAGGATTGTTCTTCCTGGAGGAGGGAGCTGGGCTTCAGGGAGACGGAGAGATTTGCCCAAGTCCACAGGCTGACGAGGTGGCGCTGGGAATCGGGCCCGAACTGTCTGGCTCTTCCCATGTTCCCCACGATGCGTGCTCTCCTGGGCTGACTTTCCCATTTTACAACATACAACCTCCCCCGGGCGGCAGGCATGAGAAGCCGTGGAGCTCGCCTAGTTTTGTGCTGATCGGTGAGCAGCCCGGACCCGGAGGTTGGTCCGACCTCCTGGACTGAAACTTCAGCTGCTTTTCTGCTCGGTGACCTTGGGCGCTGCCCCCACCCCCCTGAGCCTCCGTGCCCTCATCTGTAAAGTGGGGTAATTCATGCCTCACAGTGTTGTTTGCTGATTTAAAAATACAGATTTGGCATGTGGATGGCAGACGCAAATGGTGACTTAATAGTAACACAAATTTAAAAAGTAAAGGCAGGTACTTGGTGTTACCTTCACCTAAGAGACTAAAAAACTCCCAGGGCTTATTACCTGTCAATCAGTTCTAGAACGTCTAAAACGAACTGCAGTTAAGGTCGGTGCCATCTAAGACCGCACCCCTGCAGAGTCTTCTCCAGGCAGGATGGGCTGCCGGGAGGGCTGACCAGGGGCTGGGACCGAGCGTATAGGCACCCGGGCACCTCTGAGCAGGTGGCTGGGTTCAGAGCCACAGTAGGTCAGAAGTCTGGGCACCCAGGGAGGCTGACAACGATGGGCATCGGTCCAGGGCAAGGAGAGAGGGGAGCTAGGGAGCCGAGCACAACATGAGCCTGATGAGAGCAGCGTAGGATCCAGAGAAAGGACTCAGGCCTCAGGGAGAGCCCGCAGGACAAGCTGCGCCTGCCCTCTGGTGCCTAGTTCTGCAGCTTGACCCTGCACAGGCTCCCGGGCTCAGGACCAGGCTCTCTCCAAGCCTCAGGGACTTCCTGCCTCAGGTTGGCTCAGGCACCCACGGCACACCACCTCCCCCTACTCTGGCAGCGAATAGAGTGGGGAAGAGGAAGGCTTTGGAGTTAGATCTGAGCCTGAGTCCTGCCTCGGTCCCCTGCAGACACTGCTCCCTGAGCCAGTTTCCACATTTTTAGGAGGAAATAAGAACTTTATCTTTCAGGGGTTCTGTCAGGATTAGATGAGAAAGTGCTTGAAAACAGCTGTTACCATCATAGCTGCAATTACCCTATACCCTACAGGCATCCTATATAATAAAACCCTAATATGCAAATCGACCGAATGGAGGAATGATCGGTTGCTATGACGTGCACCAACCACCAGGGGGCAGACGCTCAATGCCGGAGCTGCCCCTGGTGGTCAGTGGGCTCCCACAGGGAGAGTACTGCTCAGCCAGAAGCTGGGCTCATGGCTGGCGAGCACAGCGGTGGTGGCGGGAGCCTCTCCAGCCTCTGTGGCAGCGCTAAGGACCCCTCGGGGGTCCTGGACTGTGAGAGGGCATAGGCTGGGCTGAGGGACTCCTGGCCTAGTGCACAAATGTCGTGCACTGGGCCTCTAGTATTAGGATATAGGAGCAGCTGGTGTTTGGCATGGCCGCTCAAGCCCCCAGCCCGCATCTGGAAGCATCGTCAGGAAATGGGGAAAGGAGCATGGGGGCTGCTCCGTGTTTAACCATTTTCCCCAGAGAAGTGTCACTTGGATGAGCAGTTTGAAATATTCTCATTAAACGGCCTTTGTACCTGCCAGTCCACAGGCCCTGGAGGTTTCAGGTTCTTGCTGGAGGCTATGGAGCTGCTCAGGTGAACAGAACACCATACACCCCCAGCCAGGCTCACCTGGAGCAACGCAGGGCCAGGCCGGGGCGAGGCGGCAGAATGCTGGCCAGTAGCCGCACACAGCCCATCTCTCCAGCGGAGCAGTGCAGTGGTGCTGGCGTGTCTGGGGGTGTCTGGGGCGCACTGGCTCTCCGTGATGCTCTGTGAATAATGGATCCATGGTTAATAAGCCTCGGAAACACTACTTATAAACCCTCTGCCCCGGGAGCATCGCAATGAGCGTGGGCTTATTAAAGGCTCTGAGAAGGCCTGCACAGAGGAACCTATTAAGCCCAGTGTCTCTTACATTCAGGCTTACCTGGGTGAGCAGATGGTGTCCCAGCCTCTGTGGCAGGACATCTGTGTCACTGGCTCTGGGGTCTGGGGCTGCTCTCAGCACCTCTCTGGCCTTCGTTTCTCTCTGTGTGAAAAGAGGGGAGGTCCTTTCATTCCTGACGCTCCATGAGCCCAGGAGAGCACAGAGGGGGCAGTGAACACAGAGCCAGCCGGAAGCCACAAAGGAGGCCCAACAAATAGATTTTTAATTCATGTGGAAAGGATGGAGCTGAGAAATCTGTGATTTCACTTAAAAGATGGGAAGATAAAAACTGAAGTGTACTTTGGGTTATTCTAAAAACAGATCCAGCCATTATGTTGAATGATGGAGGAATGATGTAAGATGAAGAAAGATACAGGCTCTCAATGCGAGTTTTGCCGGCTCCCCTGTGTCCCGGAGGGAAGAGGGACAGGAGTGCCTGGGCTCCTGTGTTCCGGGACTCAGGCCCCTGCGAAGGTCTGTGCAGTTTGGGGCACATGCACTGAACACGCATGTGACCGTGTGTCTTGGGTTGGAAGGGCTTGGCTCCCCGTGTGGGGCAGGGTCCAATTTGCAAAATGATATGTAGGTTCTGCTCTCTTCAGGGTGAAGGGGGGACCAGGGGGATGTTAGTCCCATGTTACCCACCAGCAGGAGTGGCGCCCAGAGTGGTGAGAGGGTGGCGAGGTGACAGGCGCTCAGGAGGCCGCAGGGGCTGAGCCTGTCGCGTCTCCTGGGAGGCTTATGGCAGAGGGATAAGCACAGCTGGCCGTCACCCCCAAACTCCTGCCTTCCCCTCTCCCCAGCCCGAGAACCTGGAAGGAGGGGTCACTGAACTCCCAGGAAATCCAAATCCATCCTCTGTGAACTGGAACAAACACTTGTAAGGTGCTGGCAAGAATAAGATAAGATCGCCCACAGAGCTCACCAGGCAAGATGCACCGTGAGCTTTCATGTTGAAGAGGATCCTCTAGACCAGTGGTTCTCAACCTTGGCTGCACGTTAGAATCACCTGGGAGTCTTTTTAAAATCCTGATTTCCGGGCCTCATCCTCCGGAAATTTTGTTTCTTTGTTACTAATGTTGTGGCCCCACCCCATAACAAAGAAACAGAATTTCCGGAGGATGGGGCCCGGAAATCAGGATTTTAAAAAGATTCCCAGGTGATTCTAATGTGCAGCCAAGGTTGAGAACCACTGCTCTACACTCAACTGGTATTACTTTTTAAAAAAAATTTAATATATTTTTATTGATTTCAGAGAGGAAGGGAGAGGGAGAGAGAGATAGAAATATCAATGATGAGAGAGAATCATTGATCAGCTGCCTCCTGCAGGCCCCACACTGGGGATCCAGTCAGAAACCCTGGCATGTGCCCTGACCAGGAATGGAACTGTGACCTCCTGGTTCATAGGTCGCCACTCAACCACTGAGCCACACTGGCTGGGCGGGACTCTGTGTCTTGAGTGGCCCCTGTAGGGCAGATGCTATGCGAGGGCTGGGGGGTTGTTTGCGGCCATTTCTGGGTTCCTTGTTGAAGAACACGCCACAGGGGGCCTCTGCTCTGGCCACTTTGCTGACTCAGAAGCTCAGAGGACTCACCAGCTCCCAGGGGGCTGCAGAGCGAAGGGCTCGCCACGGCTTCCCGTCGTCAGGCCCTGAGCGTTGGTCACGGTGATGACTCAATGGATCAGGGTGAGCCGGGCTTTCGGAGATAAACCGTTCCTCCCAGCTCAGCCTTCCAGCTCACGCCCGCCCACCCGCCAGGAGGTGAAACTCCCACTGCCATCTCTCACCCTGGCTCTACTCCTGGTGCCCTCAGCCGCTGGTTTTGCAGTGACGCGCTGCCCTGTCACGGCTGGGCCCGGAGAATCAAGCCCTCGGCCCCCCTTCACTTTGGGTGATTAGGAGGGACCCACCTAAAGTTCCCCTGGGGTTTCCAATTAGATATGGCGCTTCTTCCCAAAGCTGTAATCTGTCACCTGCTACCTGCTAAACAGACACTGCCCTCCAGCCCCCGGGCATCGGCTGCCCTGTAATGAGAAAAATTGCCCCTTTATCCCTCCAGACCCTGGGAACCCCCGAGGCAGAGAGTCTGCGCTGGGAGTGTCCCCGGGGTCTCCATGCCGCCCCCAGTGACCTGCTGAGCCCTCTGACACATTCATTATTCTCCGCGATTTGCAAGCAGCTCACGTTGGAAGCTGCAAACACACTTAATCCAGCTGTGGCCAACTCAGAGCTTTGATAGATGTTTTCTTTCCACGGGGCAGGACCAGGGTGGCTTTTATAACTGAGCCATGAGGCTCATAAAAGCCGCTCGCAAAGCTCAGAGGGCTGCCCCGGGTTTGATCCAGCCTGACCTTTGCGATGGGCCTAGCCCTGCCGCCACATGGAGGGAGCAGCCCTGGCCGATGATAGATCTCTCCGGAGTGGGGGGGTACAGATGTCTGGGCTCCCCCACCGGCTCCAACCCTCTGCTTTTCTCCGCTGTTCAGCAAACGTCCTCAAAGATGAGTCAGACACAACCCTCTCCCTCAAGAGCTAGCCAAGTGAGGGGCATAGAAACAGCGAGTTCTGTGCAGAGGAAAGAATGGCTAATGTCTGGAGGGGCCAGCTACACTGATATTATCTGGGGCCGTGCTTCCAACTCTCCCACAGGTCGGTACTGTACGTAGACTTAACAGGCCAAGTGCAGACTCACCAGGGTGCTGGATCAGGGTCTGAACCCAGGCTCCCCCAGGGAGGGAGGTGGGGGCGGGGAGGAGAGAGGGCTGCAGCCTGTGAGTTTCCCTGCAGGAGAGAAGTGAAGATGGAATCAGAGTTTGCAGGGAAAGGCAAAAGGAACAGCATGGGCAAAGGCACGGAGTTGCTGAACAGTGTGGTGTTGGGTGTTTCCAGAAGGTAACATGGGAGCAGAAGACACAGGAGGTGGGGCTGCACTGAGAGGCCATACATGGAAGCTTTTCCTTTAGCTTCTCATCGGGGTCTGGGAGGGCGGATGGTCAGAAACCCAGAAATCACAGGCAGATTGAGGTTTGAAGGCAGGCAAGGTGGCTCACCCTTCGTCTCCTTGCTCCCCAGGTCCTGTCACATGGGGCTGCAGCCTTTGCCCTGCTGTTTCCGCTGTTGGAAATACCCCCTTGCCCAGCTTTCCTACCTGAAGAATTCCTGCATCCCTTTCAGGGCAAATGCTGGCCCTTCTAGGGTAGATTTCTCTCTCTCTCTCTCTCTCTCTCTCTCTCTCTCTCTCTCTCTCTCTCTCTCTATCTATCATCTATCTATCTATCTATCTATCTATCTATCTATCTATCTATCTATCATCTATCTATCTATCTATCTTTCTATCTATCATCTTTAGCTCTCTATGTATCTCTCTCTGCACTCTCAGTGTAGTTTTTATCTCTAGTTTAATATTTAAAACAAATAATGCAAGTAAAGCACTAGCTAGTTTTCATAACAACCTGGGTGGCAGGTATCACCCTTCATTCTACAGAAGCAGATACAGGCCTGGGAGGCAGAGACTTCTGAGGACACACAGCTAGCGACTGGGGGCATCTGAGCGCAAAGCGGCCCTGCCTTCAGCCGTCACCAGAGCGATTGTCACTGCAGTGGACTGTCAGCCCTCAGGGGTGTTCAGGGCCTGGGTCTTCACACAGAAGAGCCTGGACGCCCCAGGGTGCCTGCTGCAGAGCCGCACACATGGCTGGCACTCTCTGCAGACCCAGAGCTGAGCTGGCAGGGCCCAGCCACTCCTGCGTGTGCTGGTGGCGTGGAGGGCAAGGGAACTCTCCCACCCATTTTCTTTTTCTTTTTCTTTTTTGACCCATTTTCACCAAGGATGCTGACAGACCCTGCCCCTGTCTGCTCAGCCTCCGGCAGGTGTGCCTCATTGGGAAAGGAGGCACCTCACGGCGTCTCAAAGAATCGGGCTTGCGGGAGACTCAGACAATGGGGTGACCTCATACAGCGGTTGGCTCATTTCAGACCTAATGTCCAGGAATCAAGGCTGTTTCCCAGCTGTGTCAGTCACACACTCATCCAATTTCTGGGAGTTTTCTTTGAAGAGGTGACCCAAGCCAGAGCAAGGAGCAGCCAGCTTCTATTTATAAGGGGAGACATGGCTGATCACACACTATAACCAGTTCTCCCACGCCAGCTGGGGGGGGGGGGGGGGGAGGCAATGTTTTCCCTCCTTTTCCTCGGGCACCTTTGTTCTAAACATAAGCATCAAAGCCAGCTGTTTGACCGCCCCCCTCCCCTGGCAGTGGGAGTGTCCACCCTCTGGGTGACTCTGTGAGGGAGCCCTCTAGCCTCTTTCCTGAGGCTCTGCTGCTCCTCTGAGACCAAGCAGCTGGGCAGAGTGCTGTAGGAATCCTAACAATAACAATGCCTAATTTTATTGAGCACTTACTGTGTGCTGGCACTACGTTAGGTGCCTGACATGCCTTTTCTCCATCAAATCCTGTAGAAAGAGTGGGTGGCATTGCACATTGCCACAGGTGGACAGGTTAGGGGACTTGTCTGAGTCTCGTTGCCTGGGAGTGGCACGCCTAGAATTCAGACTCAGGTCTGGGTGACTCTCAGACTCAAAAATTCCCCCGATGCCTTCCCCTGATGATTAGGCACCGGGGAGACTTGGGTCCTGGGCCCGCATTACCCCTGACGTGCTTTGCACTTGGGGCGACTAGCTTTCTCTGGGCACCGATTTCTTTAGCAAAATAAGGAGGTTGGCTGAGACGCTCTAGGTCCCCACCTGCTCGCTGCGTTTAAGAACACCTCTGTTCCAGAAGGTGCTGGCCACAGGGCGGCAGAGTCTCAGTGGCCAGGATCCCAGTTCCCTCCTCTGTTCCGCTGGGCTGGCTTCAAGCTGGGGTGAGTCCCTGTGGCTGTTCAGTGCTCTGAGAACTCCTCTTCCTTCGGTGAGAGACCTTGGGAGAAGCCTCCGGTGTGAGGCAGGAGCAGGCAGCCCTTCTATGGAATGGCTGGGAGAGGAGTATGATTCCATAACAATCCCAGAATTCCCTGGGCAGCCCAGTGGCCCCTCTTTGAATCAAGGGTTGATGAAATGTCACAGCCAGAAGGGACCTCAGAGGCCATCCTATCCCACCCACCCTCATTTTACAGATGGGGAGACTGAGGCACCGAGTGAATTGCTGTCAGAGCTAGGGCTTAAGTACAGGTTCCACTTCTCTCATTCATTCTCTCAACACCAGGCATGAAAGATGAAAGGCTCCCCTCTCTGAAGGAGGGGGAGACAGACCTGAAAACGGACCATGGCAATGGAAGGGGTGTGCTATGCAGAGGCCCCTTAATCCCCAACCCAGCGTTTTTCTACTCCCATGTCCTGCCTCGACAGGAAGACATGTGGTAGGGCTCTAGGGAGTCAATACCAGAATGGTCTCTAGCGATCTACCAGTCTCGGGATAGCAAATCCCTGGAACCGGGATGCCTGTTCTCTTTCCCTGGCCATGGCAGACATCACAAGTAGATCACAGTGCTCTTCATAGAGCCCATGCGAAGCCTCCGTTCTTTACACCGAGCTCCAGCCAGGCACTGCCAGTCGAGCAGGGTCGACGATGAGGTCAGTGCTGTCTGCCATTCCTGATTAGCTCAGCAACATCATTACAACAGCGTGTACGGCGCTCTCCCGTGTCTGTGTTTTCTGTCCCATCTCACTGAGCCCTGGCAGCAGGCCTGCGCTGTGGGCTCCATTAGGATCACCATCGTGCAGAGGAGGAAACTGAGGTCCCAGGCCCCCAGCTCACAGCAGTGGACCCACAAGAAGAAATAGGTCTCCTGGTGCCATGCCCTGTCCACCTGCAGACGGCTTGCTGCTGGGCAGGTCTTGGCTACGTCTAAAAACTGCCATTTCCCCAATAGACCGCGCTAGTGACATCTTCCCATTTCGTCTTGTCTTAAGGAGACACCCCATCCTGAACTTCTCCACCCAGCCTCTGTCTCTGCCCGTGAAGCCGCCTCTCCCGGGCCCTGGTCAGTACGAGATTGTGGACTACGCCGGGCCAACCAAGTATTTAATCTCCAGTGCATCGTTCGTGTCCACCACCAAGCGGTGGACAGCGGCGCCGACTCAACCAGGCTTGCCTGGCCCAGGTTAGAGGGTTGTTTGAAATGATTGTAAAAACCAAATCTGGAATTGTTTGTCATTCCAGGGCCATCAAATGCCACTGGTTTATAGGTTGTTTGCCAAACAGGTTATAGAGGTTAGAGTGGATTTAGAAGACTTTTCAGCTTACACTTTCTGAGTATGAAAGTTGTGTGTGTGTGTGTGTGTGTGTGTGTGTGTGTGTGTGTGTGTGTGTGTGCGTTTAAAGTGAGAGGGCTCTTAGAGACAATCCAGGCCAGGGATGCATAACCAAGGACCATGACCATCGAGAGGCTCAGAGACAGGCTCCAGGGGTCTGTGACGCTGCCCTTGTCTGCAGACATTCTCTTCTGGGCTAAGGGGCCGTAGCTCTTGTCAGGTGGTCAACAAGTTCATGGTCTCAGAAATGTTTTAATCACTGGCCTCGCTTGGCCGAGTCACTTCATGGACGGGGAGCCGGGAGAGCAAGGTGTCCACAGGTCTCGGGAGCGAGGGGCAGCCGGAGCGCAGGGGCGTCCCCTCTGCCTGGTTTGTCAGGCACGAACCAGGGGGCGGGTGGGGGGGACCGTTTACTGGGCAGCTCTGTTAAGCCATCTAGTTCACAGGTGAGCTTAATCGGTGATACCCTGTGACCTCAGGTACCTACCTGGGAGCTGATCCCACGAGGGACCTGTTTGGAGCTGTCTATGGAGCCCCTTAGCTATTTTCCTCCCCTTGACATTGACCAGACCTAGGGGCACGGGTTAGGTGTGCACGAACAGGTGTGCTGGTGTGCAGGTGGGGTGGGCGGAGGAAGGCGGAGCTGAGGCGGCTGCCAGGCCTGTTAAATGCAGTCTTTCAATGAGCATGGATGCTGCTCCACCCTGGGGAGGCAAAGATGACTTAAGCCCTGTGCATCGGTCTGGTGGGGAGACACCTTCCCCTCCAAACTCACAGGTGAGTAGAATGGAAGGCAGACAGGACAGGGAGAAAGGCATTCGCATAGCTTTGGCCTTGGAAATGTAGTCAAGCCAACAAGACGGCAGAGGTTTGACCCTCAAGTCGTCTGGTCGGTCCAGGCAGAGCTCATTCTGGTTCAGTGTCTGGGTTGTGCTGATGCTTCTGTAAGTGCTGAGCTCCAGTGGGCGGTCTCGGGAGGCCCGGGGGCCAGGGGAGACCCTTGTCTGACCCTGTTGGGCCCAGACCCCTAAGAGTTTTGTGTCCGTGTCTTCTCTGCGCTGTGCCTGGTGCGGGACACCTGGCACACGGGTCGGACGGTCCCTCCTGGGGGTGAGCACAGGCAAACATCTGCCTCCTTGGCCCCAGGGGGTGCAGGTGTGCCTGGACTGCCAGGTGCCCCCAGCAGCAGCTTCCCAGGTAACCAACAGGGGTCACCCATGGCCCCTCGTTAACAAGTCAGTGTCAGTGTGAGTTCCCCGTCAGCCGGGCTTGCTCCCAAGCCCCTGTGGTTCCGGCTGCTGGTTTCCTAAAGGACCTTCAGGGTCATGACTTTCGCTTTTCTGGGAATTTCTGAAATCAATCAAAACAAAACCCCACCAAGCTGACACCTTGCTTCTTAAGAGTATCGCTTGACTCAGTCCTTTCCCCCCCAAAACTTCATAGAAAGGTCTTTTGTAAATTTTTTGTTGTCAAAGAAGTGAAAAGGGGTTAAAGAAGGTGGGAAACCAGAGTTCGAGTCCTACCTCGGCCAGTTAAGAACCAGATAACCTTGGGCCGTCCCTTCCTCTGTCCGCCTCCCCACACGGATGGTGCAGGGGCTGGGACCGGGGTCCCACTGGCCTCGCCAGCTCTGACGTAGAACGAAAGAAACTCCTGCAACTGGCCTTCTCTGTTTTCACACTGCCCCTCTCTCCTCACAGCCACCTACAAGCCGGAGCTCCCCGGGAGGCATTCCTTTCTCTACAATGAGGGCAACAGGTGGATCCCGGTGTTGTAGCGGCTCACAGGGCACAGGAAAGGCCGGCCACCAGCGGCCCCACGCAGGTGCCCAGGGCTGACGTGGGGCCGCTCTGCCACCTGGGTCTGGTGTTACAGCTGGGCTCGAGCTGCCTCCTGGAGATGGGGCCCCCCACTCCTGCTGACCTCATGGTTTCCTGAGAAGAAGAGGAGAGGACAGAGCCTCCCCGGTTCCTTCGCCAGGCACCTGGCCAGGCTGCTGTCTGCACCCTGCCCTCAGACGCCAGGGGCTCCTGCAGCTCGGGCTCCAGGGAGAAGGTAGAGGAGGGCAGATGCCCTGCCTGGCAGCCTGGTGCTGCCCAGGGCTCCGGGGCCCGCGTGCATCTGCAGGGGGGACAGCACATCCTTCTGGCCTTGGCTTCCAGACCCTCCTGGTGTTCCCAGAGCTGGAAGGCTCAGAGGCACTTGTAACACAGACAGGAAGGGGTTGCCTGGGCTCCTTGCCCACCCCTAAGCCCTTGAATCTCACCTTCAGGAAGAGCATGGCAGCCAGTCCCTGGGCACCTGTGCTCAGCACCCACCCTCAGGAGAGGCTGCCACGTGCTTATTGGCTCTGTATTCAACAGCACATGTGGATGGGGCCCTGTTTGAGCCAGAGCCGGGACACAGAGGTTCTGGGGGGCACGGGAGCCACGCAACACCCTGAGCCTGCAGGTTCTCACTCTCACCCAACCTTTCCCCTTCCTGGGCTGGGCTCCCCAACCTCCCGCTCAAGTTTGACACATCTTTAATGCATCTTTTCTGGCCTGTCATTTCCCCTCGGCAAGAGGAGAAGATTCCCAAAGAACCAGAAGATAGAAGTAGCCACACACCCCCTCCTTCCCCAGATGTTGGCATTGTCTTTCCGTTTGTAAGTGGAACTCTCCCAGGCAGCCTGCTCTCGCCCCAGCGAGGACAAGGCTCTCACTTCCCTTTTGCTCCCTCCTTGACTTTTCTCTGGAAATGCTACATCCTGGGCCTCCATGTCAAAACTGGCTGCTGACTGGCTCTCCACTTAGGGAGGGGTTGGAAGGATGGAATAACATCCAATTAAATTGAATTCTTGCATCTCACCAAAGCTGGCCTCTATGTGACCTCTGATTCCCGCAAGCGCCCATTGCTTTGGGATACGTTGGAGGTGGCGGGAGCTCGGTGCAGGAGCATCGAGTCTGGATCTAAGGCAGCCTGGTGCTCCCATCCCCGCAGGCCCTTCTCCTTGAAGAGTTGGATCAGAGTTTGCAGACTCATGGTCAAGCTCTCCCAGGGCTGGGTGGGCAATGCATGGAGCAAAACAGGTGATGCAGGAATGGATGGGGTCAGGGGCCTGGGAGTGAGGCTGCTGCCTACCTACAGGGGCATCCAACTCGGGTCCCGCAAACGGTTGCCAGATCTGCAGGTCTCGCAACAGAATCTGGGAAATACTTACAATGTGCAGTGTCTTGATTTGAGATGTTTACAACCGTGTTTCAATGTAAAGTTTTTTGTTTAGCCCAAAGGAAACTCTCCTGCAAGCCATTGGCTGTCCCTTGGGAGCTAGACGTTCTGGAAGACGCTTTCAAAGTGACGCTTAGAGCTGTACTTTCCTTTCACCCCAGACTCTTGACAATGAGGCCAGACCCCAGGCCTTGGTTCTTAGGCCCCTCTGACCCTGGGGGATCTTAGCAGGCCATTGGGCTGGTAGGAGCGGGCTCCAGGGAAAATGACTTAGCCAAGAGCGCAGGGCAGAGTTGGCACAAGAACTCCTAGCCCTGGGCTCTGCCCACAGACCCCAGCTACGAGGTCCCCGGCAAGGTCATCCTGACCCTTTCCAGGACTTCTGCATATCCAGTCAGTGATCCCCAGGTCATAACATTCAGCTGTGGGACCACACAGGGCAGAGAGCTGGGTGTCCTCCAGGTGGGACGCCTGCTTTACTAGTGCCCAGCACAGCACTGCCCTTCAAGTTGGGGCAAATGCCCCCAGGACAGGAGCAGCCAGGCCGTGTCTACTCTCACCCTCTCCTCCTGGCAGACTTTCACAGAAGGAACAAGTGTGGCATTTGAAGTAATACATAGGCAGAATTTTATTACTAAATACTATATGAGTATACAAAATGCATAATTGAATAACCGCTAAAAAAATAGTCCAAGAAATGTGAAATACACATTTTTTGAAATGATAAAAATGTATCCGTGAAAATATAAAACGTTGCATATATATACAATATATACTTATATATTTATAACATAAATGAAAACTGTAAGTGAGAAATGTGTACAGCAGTGAGCAGGGTGGTCGGTCATTTATCGAGCAGCCACGTGGTCGTGGCCGATCAGCTCTATTATTTACATCAGGCCCGGGGGACGTCCATGAGAAAGAGGTGCGTCCACCACAGTGTCTTTTCAAAGTCATTTGCACTGGAAACCGAGAGTGTTCAAGATAACTGACCACAGGGTGAGAGATCCTTGGTCTGAAGTCGGTGGGACGACCAAGAATGGGAGTGGACAGCAGTCAGGTCGGCTTTGGGAGTGAGGCCTGCCTCCAGCACCGGGATAGGCAGCCCGCAGAGCAGCGGCGGTGGAGGAAACCGTCTGCCGGGCGCTCACCAAGACGGCGCTGTCTGGCTGGGCAGGCGCTGGCAGGCGCTCAGAGTGGATTCAAGCATGAGGTGGGGGCTCGGGTCAGGACACCTCCCAGGTCCCTTCTTGGCCCTGACGTCGGGGACGCGGGCCTCTTCCCTCTGGGAAGGTGTTCAAGTAACGGCACTGAGGCATGAGGAGAGGTTGTGTGCGGCAGGGGGCCACTGGCAGCTGGCTCCTGGCCCGGAGCTCCCCGCGGGGTCCTCACAGCTCCTTAAGGGTGATCTGAATCTTGCCATCATGCTCCCCCATGTCCAGCAGGAAGGCGACATGGTTGCTGTAATGCTGAATGATGTTGTTGTCCATGTTGACCAAGATTCTGGAAGAGAAGAGACGTGGCTAGACTGTGGGAGGCCCCTTGCCTTCAGGGCTCTGAGTGACAAGGATGATAGTGACGGTTATACCTATCGGGGACCCCCGTTATTTCCAGCGTCTCACAGACTTTCTCTCTGACCCTCATCACAACCTGCAAGGTGGTGGTTCCCTGTCCCACTTTCAGGGGAGGGCACAATGCCCAAGTGGCCGAGCCACAACTCACACCAGGCCTGCCAGTTACCATGCCCCCGACTGTGCCTGGGTGCCTCTCTCAGTACATATGAGCAGGACACTTGTGAGCAACTAAAGGTAGACTTGGGGAAGACTCAGCGCTCCTTAGTCACCAGCCAGACTGAGGACGCAGACACAGTGTGTGAGTTCCAGTGCAGGAGGTGTGGCGGGTGGACAGTGTGGAGACAGCGACGTGACACTCAGATGTGCCTGCCTGAGCCAGAGGCGAGGACCACACGAGCCCAGGCTAAGCCCCGTCCCCAGGAAGCTGACATCTCGGATGCACAATAGACTTTGAGGAGCTTGGCCTTCTCTCTCCCCCCAGGCTTCAGGCAAGGACCTGGGCCACCCTGAGGAGGAGAAAGCCTCCGTGGCAGGGCCTCTGCAGGGTCAGAGCCACAGCACATGCCAGGGGCACCCTAGGAGCTGCTTCCCTGGGGAAGGACCCAGGAAGAGGTGACCCGGCCTGATCCTGTCAGGAACGGAAGTGAGTATTTTCACCTGTCCGTCCGTCCATCCATCCACCAGTCCATCCCGCCATCATTTGCTGAGGCCTTTCCACATGCAGGGCCTTGCTCCAAACAAAAACAAGGGTCACAGAGACCCTAGAGCCTGCCCTCCAGGAGTTTAGAATCTAGCATGGCCCCGGAGAACAACGCCTGTTACCCTGTTACTCTAGCTCATGATGGGGAACCCGAGGCTCAGAGGAGTAAAGTCATTTGCCTCAGGCCACACAGGCAACAGATTGCCCAGCTGGGATTTAAATCCAGACTTTTGTCTCCCTTCACTGCATCTTTTTTTTTTATAAAGGAAAAAAAAATCATCCCCCAACCCCCCTAAATACAAATTAGAAAGTGGCATATATAAGGAAGGCAAAATTCAGGACTGGGGAGAGTTCAGATGAGGGCAAGATTACTTTAGGAGGGGCAGGAGGGTGGGGTGAGAATCCCAGACCACGCTCCTGGCAGGTAGCTGCCTGCTTTCCTGAGGACCCCAGGGGAGGCGGTTGCCTTGTCCCCACCATCCCCAGGGCGGAGGGGCAATGGAGACAGCGGTGGGCAGAAGCCAACTGCCTGTGTTCAGTCGTCTCTGCAGCAACATCAAGCAGCTGCTGCTTTTCGGAAGGCAGCCTGGGCGCAGGCTCCCTCTTCCTCAGGTCCTGCTGGTAGTTCCTACACTTTCCAGGGGGGTCTGTGGGGGCAGCGGGGATGGGGGGAGGAAGGGCAGAGGGGTGGCACTCTGTCAGTGGCAGGGCTTTGTTTGTTTCAGGCAGTGGCATTTACAGGGTGTGTCTGGGTGCCAGGCACTAAGTGCCTACGTGCACACACTGAAGATGCCTCCCTCCCGCGCCCAGGCAGGGCCTCCCAGGGGCCCAGGCGCACACCTGTGCCGAGGGAGCCCAGACAGGCCCCAGGACCCTTCCCCTCAGAGGTCAATGACCCCTGGGCCCTAGAGGCAGGGGTGTCAGGAACCGTGTCCCAGAGGTGGGCCTCCTGTCACTTGCTAGCTCTAGCCATCTTGTCCTGGTTCGCATGAAACCCCTGGCCAGCTGCCAGCAAAAACAATGTATTTGTTCATCTTTCAAGCACTCAGTGGTGCTTGTAAGCTGATTGCATCTGCCTTTGTCCAGAGGACTCTCGGGAGGACTCTATGAAAATAACGAGGCCACTGATTAGAATTTCCTGCTCCTCAGACGAGAAGCGTCAACTCTTAGGGAGGTGACAAATGAGCCTGGCCTCTCCCAAGGGGCTTTTTTGGGGGCTCTTCTCATTGGGCATCAGAGGCAACCCTAGACCTGAGGTTTCCATGGTTGGGGTGTGTGTGGGTGTGGGGTGCCTCTGCAGGGCTGCTGAGTAATGCCCCGGGCTATGGGGCTGGCCTGGCCACAGCCTGTATTTGCTCACTGCTTAGCGGTTAGAGGAAAAAGCAGGAGGCAAGATAAAGTCGGGATGTATGCA